TACCGTTTTTTTTTCTATTTTAACATTCCTTCAACCAAAACACTAGCAAATACATTAAATTCGTTCTATAATCAACAGATTAAGCATACACATGAAGCTTTATTGGTATAAAATCCGTGTGCACAACACACTAATCAACTTACATTGACTTAATAGTAGGATGAAAGATATGATCCATAATTAAGATTCACACACACTTAATATCGCGTAATTAATCAGTTTATATTGATGAATGGATTAAAATTTCACAGTAAAAGTACAAGTTTAGTTTTTTCATACCACGTGACATTTCTCCTTCATATGTATTGTATGACACATTGTTAGATAACAATTTGGAATGATGAGTGTGAATTAATAATAATTTAAAAGGGAATTTGATTTATTGATTTTGATTGGATCAAAATAATAATTCATTTTGTTCATTGATGATCTTACAAGGATGTGTTGGGTTTACTTTCTTAAATCAAAATCTGAAGTTCTAGTAGTTTTTCAAAAGTTTAAGAGACTTGTTGAGAATGATTACAATTGTAAACTCAGTGCAATAAGGACAGACAATGGGACAAAGTATACAAGCAATCAGTTTAATAATTTTTGTGGGGAAGTGGGAATCAAGCATCAATTTACAATTCCTTACTCTCCACAACAGAATGGAGTCTGTGAAGGAAGAAACATGACATTCATGGAGATGGCCAGATGTCTATTGCAGGAGTAAGATATTCCTAAAACCTTCTGGGCAGAGGCTGTTAATACCTCAGTGTATTTACTGTATAGGCTTCCTACCAAAGCCTTAGAAAGATTAACCCCTTATGAAGCTTGGTATGGAGTTAAGCCTAATATATCTCACCTGAGGATATTTGGTAGTGTAAGTTATATACATATTCCTAATGTTAAACGAGACAAGCTTAGTCAGAAGGCAGAAGCTGGAATTTTGGTTGGATATTGTGATAATGCAAAGGGGTATATAATTTATAATCCACAAAGCAACAAAATTGTTTCTTATAGAGATGTGAAGTTTGATGAAAAATCCTTATAGAATTGGGAGTCAAACGTCTTGGATAGAATTGAAGTTCCTAGGTTGATTTCTCAAAATGAAATTA